TTTTAAAAACATCTTCTGCCTTAATTCCTTTTTTTAATTCTGAAAGTGAGCCAGGCATAATGGAAATTCTCTACATGCCTTTGGTAGATTAATTAAACTGTGCTTTCACAATGCAATTTGTTACAGGTTAAAATAGCAAAGCTACAATATGTTCAAATAAAAAGAATTTTTCCACACTTTTTGAAGGACATGTTTCTACAGGGTTTTGATTTCAATCAAAGTGATAATTTGAAATACACAAGACTGTTGCGATGTCGTAACAACACATTAGAGTATTATGAGCATATTACTGATAGTAGTCAAGGGTAAGGATAATTTTTATTACATTCATATCCTTAGTGATTGCCACATAGTAGAGTATTCAGCAACTACTACATTATTTTGGAGAAAAGTGAATGAACAGTCAACAAATCAATGACCAAAGGAAAAGACTGGTTTTAAAAGAAAATTTATGGAGAAAACATGTAAGGGCAAATTCTGAATAAAATCAGTATTTATCTAGCAGCCGCAATGGAGTAAAAACATACTGGTGCTACCTTTGGCTATACGGAACATTCTTTTCTAATCCTCAACTCAATCTACTGCCATCAAGTCAGAATGAACTCTTAGCTCACCCTCCAAAAGGTTTTCAGAGGCTGTACATCACACAGCAGGAGACTGCCCATCTTTCTTCCAAGGAGCAGCTGGTGATTCTAACCCCTGCCTTTGGATTGGCAGTGTAATTCCTTACCCACTAGGCCACCAGAGCTCAATTATCAGGGAAAGGAAAAAGAGAGCAGTAGAGGGTTAGAATGGAAGGGGAAAGGGAGTGCTTGAAGGACTGGAAGAACTGGAGGCAGGCTGGTATAGGAACAAAGGCAGGGAAGCTGGGGGCTTTCCGTGCTGGCTCATTAGAGCTGACTCAGAAATGGATTTGTTATAAAACATTCATCATAAGGTAAACAATTACCGTATGTTAAGTAATAAAGTTAGTTTTTCATTTGTTAATTTACTGACTCCTCTAGATAGCCAACATGCTAGCTTCTGTTATCTGCCCTTTATAGATGAAGACCCAGTGTCCCAGACAAGGAAAGTAACTTGTCTGACTTCCACAGTGAGGTCAGGTCTGTGCCAGAGCCAAGAGAGGAGCTGCGTGGGTTCAAAAAAACCTGTCAAGCCAAGATCTTACAATTCAGTCTGATCTGAGTTACCTCCCTGTGGCTTCCAAAGGTGTCAAATAATCAGTACTGCTAATAAGAGGGGTACTTTTCTTTATCAGGGGCAAACACAAAATATCAATGAGTGTTTAGTTCTGTGTTCAGGTGCAGGGTGGAAATGAGTTGGGCCTCTGTGATGAGATGAACACATGGTTAGAAGTACAAGCTATCAAAGGGGGCTCTCACATGAGAATGACGTCTAAAGACACCCTGACTCTATTACATCACTGTTCATTTGCTCAGTAACTTCTACCTGGGCACCAAGCACTGAAGAGGATCCTGGGAGACAGATAGTTCCTCCCCTGGTGTGAGCACAGGCTTAGATTCTCCTTCAGGAGCAAGGTTTTCTTTTAACTCTTTCAAGTCATAGAATTTTATGTGAAATGTTGGTATTTTCTAGTGTTTTAGGTAAAAGGTTTATTTCCTTCAGGAGGACTTTGCATTAAATTCATCATCATGTGTAGCATCTAGTACATCCTTTCCAACTGACAAGGTCAGGTACAAAGGACCAGAGTGTTATTCAAACTAAGCATCATTCCAGAATTAGAGGCCACATGCTGTCTTTAATACTGGTGTCTCCATTCTGTTCTCCAACTGCTCTGTTCCCACTGGCTGCTCCTGGCCCATCCCAAATGTGCACAGCACGCAAGGCAGCCCCTGTCCCCCTCCAGCATGGGCCCAGAGGGGCTGAGGGTAGTGGGAGTGGGGGAGGGCAGTATCTGGCACTCACTTCCTGCTGCCATATGACCTGGGTGGGGAAGATCTCACTTTTCCTGTCCACTCTACTCCCGGTGCCCACAGGAACCACTTCTCCTGTTCTACCTCCTCCTACCAATCTTTCTGGCACTTTTGGGTCCTCAGTCAGCCTTTCTGTGTCCACCCCCAACTTTGAGTTGTCCCACCATTGCCTCACATCTTCCACAGCTAGACCAAGAATGGGAGAAGGCATACTGTGACTAGGCAGCCACTGTCCCTTCTGTGGCTTAGTTATCACTAGGGGCTCCAGTATATTGTTTATGAGAGTTCATAGAAAGTCCCCAGGTTTGTCCACAGCGCTGTGAGGGGCGCAGTTCCTTGCAGGCATTGCCTGGGAATTTTTAAAGTTGTTGCAAATTCTTCGTCCACAGTGCTGTGAGGGGCCCAGTTCACTGCAGGGATTGCCTGGGAATTTTTAAAATTGTTGCAAATTTAAACTATCAGATGATGAAACAGTTGATAAATGAATAGTAGGGGCAACTTGTTTTGTGCTTTGTTTAAAGAACGGAAACTCATTTGCTGTAAAGCTTGAATGATTCACAGCTGCTCCTGCACTGGGATTCTGAAGCTATAAACTGCATGGGGGGAGACTGCCTATCTTCCTCTTTTAGACCAGCTGGTGGATTAGAACCACCAGGTCCAGCCCTTGGGTTAGCAGTGTAACTCTCTACATACTGTCGAAAGAGCTCTCAGACAAGTGGCTTGGTGCTTTATTTATTTAAGCTGAAGGAAGATAAAGAGGTTAAGAGAGAACTTAAAAATATTTAGATAACCTTGTAAATACCTTACAAATAAATTCATGTATAAAAAATTGAACCCCCCCCCAAAAAAAAAGCAGCAGAAATAGGCTAGAGAGGACCTTCCTAATAGTCTTAATTTACAAATGACCAGCAATAATATGTCTCACATGCTTTAAAGACAACTCTGGAAAACTGCTCCTCTGAATTTAACAAAAAGGATCCACGGTATAGTGCTAAGAATAACCAGCACATTCCTGCCGGAGTTTTAACAGCGAAGCTGTGTCAAAGCAAGGAGTGAGGGTGACTCCTGACAATGAAATGTGTTGGTTTTTTACCTCAGAAAGTCTAGATTAAAAAAAATAATTCGAAAAGCAAAAAGGCTACGTAACTTCCTCCAGCTTTCCACAGGAAGTACAAAGAAGTGTAATTAGGGGCTGTCACCTCTGCCCTGACTCATGCAGCCTTATGCACAGGTAATGAGACGCTTCGCTCTTGTGCTGTCTGCACGGCCATTTGTAAGTGTTGTAGCCGTAATGTTCCACAGGGCAGGCATCTGACAGTAACGTGCATGTGGTAACAAAGAATTCCTCAACTCCTGTCTTGCATTATAAATCTTCATCGAATGGATTCTTACAGGAGAAAGAGATGAACAAGTAAATTTAGAGGAATGCCAAGTTCAGGATAAATGATGATTAAGACAGTGAGCACCCGTCTATCCTAAGTCATTCCCAAGTATCTGAACCAACCACATCCAGGGGACCCTGCAAACCTGTGTAGAGAATCACTGTTTATTTTTCTGAAAGATCTGACTAAAGAAGGGCAAATGTGAATTTAAGAGAGACAGAAGACTCCAAAAAAGAACAGAAAACTAAGCTTTTACAATTTGTGACATTTAGAAAACATTGACCACTGGGACCCAGCACAGGTTCAGGAAAAACAAATTAAGTCCCATAAATTAAATTTTCCTTTTAAAACCAAATCTCCAGCAAAGCAATGGTGTAAGCAGAATACATTTCAGTTAAGATGCGGGTCAAATGTTTTAAGACTTCCTTGGGGAGATGGAACTGACGTGTTGCTGGCTAAGTAACTCCACTCAGGGAGTGAGTCATTAGCATTTTGCAGGAAGACCTTTATTGCTACAGAATTCTGTCTTTGCTTTTGGATTACTTTAATTGAATGATTTAGAAAAGGAAATACAAGGTTGTTTTTTTTTTTAAAATATAAACCAGGAAGCATTGATAAATTGTATGGTCATATAACAAGATTCAAAAGTACTTCCAGTAGTAGGAAAACTGCTTACAACTATTAAGATAATTTCCTATTAAATTTAGCCCTGCATTTGTATATTATTACGAAGTGTTCAAATATGGAATGAATGAGCTTGACTTAATGGCAGCGGGTAAGTTATCTGCTTAAACCTAAAAACCAGTAACACAGTGGTCTTCAAATAACTAATGCAAACACAGGCTACATAACAGCACTGTAGTGACCAGGCTAAATTCTAGATTATTTCCTCTGCATTATTTCCTCACATTTCTGTAAGAACAATGGCTCACTGTACAACAGTAAGGAGATGAGAAGATTCAAGAAAATTCTAGAAACTATGCCACCTGAGCAGTGGCCAAGTGGACTGAGGATATCTATTTTGGTGGAAGAACGAAGAGAATAAAAAGCCATGTTAAATGTAGAGGGCATTTATTTTTTCTCCCTAGAAGAAATGCAATACACTCTATCTAGTTTCAGAGGCTACAGACTAGAGATCAGTCTGGAATCCACATGGAGGCCGACCTAACCTAAACCAAACCCACGGCTGGGGGTGGATTCTTCTGACCTATAGCAACCCTCCTTTGGGTTTCTGAGGCGATAGAGCTATTTATTCCCTTAGAGTGGCTGGTGGATTAAAACCACTGACCTTCAGATTAGCAGGCCGCATAATGTACTACACCACCAAGACTCCTTAATGGTGGCAGACTTGAGGCTAAAAAATGAAGTGGGTTACGGGTGCTGTAGAGAGGTACAGAGAGTGGCTGGGAGATGCGCCCAGAGGCCCTGAGGGCTGTACCTAGCACTCTGCGGAGCAGCAGCAATGTCTGAACACAACAAAAGAAATACAAAACCAGAAAAAGGAGCAGCTCCTTTCCGTCCCCAATGAATGTGTATTTGTTTGTATTAAGTACAATTTTTCCTTCTTTTAGGTTGCCAAGGGAATGTCATTAACAGACATGAAAAAAGATATTAAATAACAATAACATGCTTTGACAACATCATATTAGGTCCCAGAAATAAGTATAACTTTCCATGTACTTACTGCTTTTGCACTGACAGGTTCGACAACCATTGGAATCAAGTTTGAAGCCATAAACACAGTCCTTCTCGGTCAGGGTGCAGTTTGATAGCTCCCCACACGCAGGCGGATCAATTGTGATGTAGGTTGGTTCTAAGTAAGAAAAAATCCCACAAATCAATGAAACATATTATCACCTCTTAGTCACTATTCAATCTTTGACATTCCATATCACAATAAATCCAGAAATCTAATCAGTAATTTTCATCAAATCTCAACCATTTATACTCCCATGTTTTTAATTCCTGCAAAAAGAAGTTTTTCAGAACACATTTTTTTTAAGCGATGTATGATAGGGTATTATGGTTATCACAAGAGTCCACAATTAAGATTGCATAGTGGAGTGTACTTGGGGCAGTGGGAGGGGTGCGGGGGGATTGTGTACAAGAGAGGGAGTCTTTCTTTTGCTTTTGAAGGAGAGGAGTGAACTGGGGGGCGGGGGGCTGGCGGGTAGAGAAGTGCACCAATGAATGAATGGAAATCCAAATTCTCTGTAAATGTTCATTAAAATTATTTTAAAAATAGAGCACATTTTTAAAAATCTGATCGAATTCTTTTGTGTTTGAAAAATTTATGTAATTTTTTTACCTTAGAAAATATTTTCATCAAGGTTACCACTCACTATAAAAGGTAAAGAGGTTAAAATTAATTCCATTTCACTTATTCTTCTATTATTTAATAGTCTTAAATAATAAAAGACAAAATTACCTACTGCCTTATCCTATTCCTTATTTTACAACACTTCTAAAATCTAGTGCTTATTCCAAAACAAATCGATCAGATATTTTGGAGAAGAGTCTCAAACACCTGCAATTCTTTTATCTTTGATGAGTGTATACTTGGGGTCCACTGGCTCAAAGGAGAGGCACAGTGAGACAGAAGAATTTCAGAGGGAAAGGGAACAGATATTCTGGGAACAAAATTGAAGCCTAAGTGATGCTTTACCTTCTCCACAATGGATCAATACTAACAGTAATTTGTACACATTCATGTAAGGTCTAGCTTGTGTTTGTCTAAACTGCTTTTCAACAATGCTTTCGAGTCTTAGCATATTCCAATGGCCTGGGTGCTGTCACTACCTCCATGTTACAGACGAGAAGATGTGGCCTATCAGCCTGCCCAAGGTGGTACAGCCGGTAAGTGGATCCAAGGGTCAAATCTAGGAAGTCTGGATCCAGTCACACTCTAAGCTTAGGGCAAGATAAAGTTAGTTTTAACAGTACCTGTTTTGTATTGTGGTAAGGAGCTGAGCTGCCAACCCAAAGTTATATGGTTTGAATCTACCAACTGCTCCAAAGGAGAAGGATGGGCCATCTGCTCCCATGTGATTTACTGCCTCTGAAAACCCACTGGAGGACCAACTATGGGTTACTTCTGACATAATGGCATATAACAGCACAGTGACAGTTTATACAGTGTCTAGTTTGAGAAGGGTTGTCACAAGGAGTAGATGCACTCACAGATTTAGGGAGCACCTTTTCAGACAAAAAGTGTTGTATCTTTCCTCAGAGTATACTTTGTGAGAGACAAGTTCAGAGTACGCTTTTCCAGATGGAAAGAATGAGATAGAGAAAGTCTAAGTGTATAGAGCAACCCAGCAGAAGGCTGGGAATAGAACAGAACAGAGGTTCTGGACCTCTTGTCCAGCACTCCATCCAGGAGTCCACTGTTTTCTCAAGCTGCATATTCTGTTACCATGGAACAGTATCCAAAATAAGTGTTTTAGCTGCCACTGAGCAGACCAAGAGTCCCAAACTTTTTTCCACCTGCTAAAAGGGGACAATGATTCAACTCTTCACAGGTAACAAGCAACTGTGACTTATTACGGAAATGCTTTGATCAGCACTGCCTGGGTGAAATATTCTTTCTCTATTTTTATTACAACATACATAGTTGGAAGACTATCTTCCTGAAACTTTCACAGACACTTTCCACTGCTATAAAATTTATCTCTTTATCTCAGGGCAAAGCACCCTATCTGATACGATAACTATAATCACCAAAAAGCAACTTAAACAACTTAAACAAGTTTTAAGACATTGAGTTAAAGATTGCATTTCTATTTTTCTCATATCCTCTTAAAATTCACCATAAACCTCTTCAAGTTTACATACCTTTTACACAAATCACTGTCATTAGCCCTCCAAAATAATCATTCTATTTCAACCTTCGGTTACAAAATTGGCAATTTTTTCGCAGATCGTCAATACCCGGAAACACTAGACAGCAGGGCACAGGAGCCCAGTATCAACTTTAAGCATGCTTAGTGTATCACAGTAAGGGGGGGGGGCGGAAATCCTAAAATTATAGATACTTATTTAAACCAAGAGTCAGAAGGGACTCTAAACTCTCTTTCAGCACTTAAGACAGCCTGTGGGTAAAGAAATATTGTCAGCGCACGGAATAAGCCAAAACTGTGTTCTTCACTGACATTTAAGTTGTAAAGTGTATGATGATGAACTTTTGCCTTCTGAAAATATATTAAGGGAAAAATATTTTGGGGCAGATTTAAAATGACATTAAAAATGCATACCAACTATGGGTTTGCACAGAGTTTTGGCTTCGCTGCATTTCAGGGATTGGTTAAGAGCATGCACTGTCTTTCTCAAAGCTCTTGCAGCTCTGAATGACTTTTTCTCAACAGGAATCAATGTATGTATGCATGTTTTATTTTTAATACAAATTGTGACCGACAGGATTATGCTGTGATGGGAAAGTGAAAGAAATAACTTGAGTGGATTGTTCTGAGGATAAGACCCATGCAGGGACTTGATCAGCTATGCAGAATTAAAAAAATATTAGCTACAAAGACAGACCACATTTACATCAAACACACATTTCTCCAAGAAAGGTTAACACTTTTGTCATGGCTCCTCTGGAACACTGGCAAAACAGTGAACAGAAAAATAAATGAATGGGTGTTTATTATGTGCTGCTCCTACAACACTGTTGTTAAATGCTGTTTGGTTAGTTCTGACACACAAAGACCTTACCTGTAAAAACAAAAAACAGTCCAGTCCTGTACCATCTTCAGAACTCCTCCATGTTTGAGCCTTTGCTGAAGTCACTGTATCAATCTATCTTACTGAGAATCCTCCTTTCACTGACCATCTACCAAGTATGATGTCATTTTCCAACGACTGGTTTCTCCTTACAACATATGCCCAAAGTATGGGGGTGGGGGAACTCACAAAACCCCCCAAACCTCGTCATTCTCATTTCCAAGGGGCACTCTGGCTGGACTCTGGCCAGGCCCAGTGCTATGTTTTTCATATATTCCACTTCCTCAGGATTTTAAGATTGAGTAAATTATCATGAAAGAATGCAACCTTGAAGCCCTTTCCTGCTTTTTAATCAATTTGCATCCCTTTGTTCCGTTCAAACAAGTGCCTCCTGGTTGATATACATGTTCCACAGGAGCACAATTAAGTAGTCTGGAATTCCCATTCTTGGAACTGTTAGGATCTACATTGTTGTACTTCCTCCAAGACAGACTTTATTCTTTTGGCAGTCCTTGAATTTTCAGTATTCTTTGCCAACATCAAAATTCAGTCTAGTCCTCCTCATAGTAACCTTCCAATGGTTCGCAAGGCTGTAAATTTTTATAGGAAGTAACTACCCATTAATCTTCCATGAGCTGCTGGAGGATTCCAACTGGCAACTTCCTTGGTTAGCAGCCCATTATGTTTACACACACACACACACACACACACACACACACACACGTATTTCCACATACACACATGGGCATGTTATTGTGTGCTGTCAAGACAGAACCGACTCATAGCTGACCCTCCAACAGGTTTTCAGAGACAACTGCACAGATGATACTACCCATCCTTTTCCCATGGAGCAGCTAGTGGATTCAAACTGTGTGCCTACTGGGATTACAGTGCAGCTTCTTACTAAGCCACCATGTTTATTTATTTATCTAGATAGGGAGCTCTACTGGCCTAGCGGTAAGAAGCTGCTCCGCAGGAGAAGGATGGGAAATCTCCTTCAATTAACTGCCTCTGAAACCTGCCCGAGGGTCAGCTATGGGTTCAGCTCTGACTCAATGGTACGTAACAACATTATGTGTGTATACATGCAGTCTCCTCCTATAAACTTGATGGCAGTGATTTAATGATGTTATTGTTGAGTGCTGTCAAACTGGCTCCTATTGTTAGTGACTCTATGTACAAAGAGGCTCAATCTCTGCTGTGCTTAAACCCACTACTGCAGTCACTGTGTCAATCCTTCTCACTGATGGACTTGCTTTCCTTTGCTGACCTTTCTCTCTTCCTAGCTTGATGTCTTTTTCCACACATCAGTACCTCCTGAAATATATCCAAAGATGGTAGGTCAAAGTCTCATCACTCTTGTCCAGAAGGAGCACTATGGTTGCACTTCTTCCAGTAAAGATTTGTTTGTTCTTTTGTCAGTCCATGGTATTCATACTGTGTGGTGAGTCATACATTTCAATGGATCACCATACTTTGCAATAGGTACAAATACTCTTCTAGTAGACCATATATATGATTGATTAAAAATGGCCATTAGCTGTTCAATTCATCTCACTAATGCCTAGAATCTTGGTACCAGGAGCCAGGAAGTCAAAAGATTAACTGAATTAGGAAATTCTGCTGTCAGGGAAATCTCCAGGGTACTGAAGAGCAACAACGTCCGTCTGGAGACTAAGGTGAACCTGACTCAGGTTATGGTCTTCACAATTATGTGCTATGCATCAGAAAGCTGGACAATGACTAGGGATGATGACAGAAAGAGAATTCATGCCTTTGAGCTGTGGTGCTGGGGAAGAGTACTGAATATACCACGGACTGCTAAGAGAACAAACAGGTTTATCTTAGAGAGGGTGGTCAAACCAGACTGCTCCTTGAAGGCAAGAATTTAAGCTTCTTCTGACATAATTTGGGCATGTAGCCAGGAGGGACCAGTCCTTGGAGAGGGATGTCATGCCTGGGAGGGTGGAGGGACAATGTAAGAGACACTTGATGAGATGGACTGATTTAGGGACTGGAGTAATGTGGGTAAGGAGTGTTAGAGACAAGAAGGTTGGCTCAGGATAGAGAAGGGTTCAGAGCTATTGTACA